ATGCACTATACAGTACTTGTAATCCATATGTTGAAATTACTCTAACATGCACTCTACAGTACTTGTAATCCATATGTTGAAATTACTCTAACATGCGCTATACAGTACTTCTAATACATATGATGAAATTACCTTAACAGGCACCATACAGTACTTACAATTCACTTGTCCACAACATATGACACAAAGGGTTTTAGTAATGTCCTCAAAACTTAAAGATAAGTCTTTGGAAAAGGAATCACATGTTCCACATGGTATTTAGAGATAAAAAAACATTTTAATTGAAATAAAGATATGGTTGGTTCGTATGTGTAACATTTGAACACAACAAATATGCACACAATATTTATTACATTTTCATATACAAAGCTTACTCCATGGCTGAAAGAATTTAATAGTTATTCTAAAATTAATAAAAAAATTTACCTTCACATAAAAAACATGGGAGACACATCTAATATAGCAACAGCTGAATATATAGTCCAATTATATGTGTATCTTATATTATCATCATTACAACCATGTTCTGATAATCTTTGGAAAATAAGATCACATATTTATAACTAATTATTTACGTATTGTATTTAGCATCATAATTTGCATTATTAATGTGATTGAACTTAGAGCTGACACCAGTGAGTATATGAATTAACACTCAGTATACATATATATCAATATATATATATATATATATGATAACAGTGATAGTTTTTCATGTAACCCCATTGACACATCTAAAATTAAAAAATCCATAATATCATTGTTGATTCTTTTTCATATCATTTCAGTGCAAGTGTTATTTAATCCCTAGATGTTATCGTTTCAATACTATTGTTAATCCATCCCCAATTCTCAGCATTGAAACATCAACTCGATCATCATTCTTGATCTTTTCATTTAGAGCCCGAATAGCGAGGGTATTTTTGTCATTTTCTGAAGGATCTGCTACCCTTCCTCTCTGAAGAACCTGGAACCATTTAGAAAACATGTTAGTTTTTACATATTTATGTACTTCTTAATATAATTAAA